AGGATGGGCCATCAGCAGACCATTATGGGTTGTTTTCTGTCCTGTTTGGAGCCCCTTGGGAGTATCCAGAGGAAAGTCTCTCTCACCTGCTTTCTCTCCTCTGCCTGACTCAGGAGGAAACCTTCGGCCAGGGCCACCGCCTGGGAACTGGTCTCCGCTCCGCATTCCCTCACCCAGCTCTCCATCTCCGGTGGAAGGACAGCCAGGAACTGTTCCAAGATCACCAGGTCCAGCATCTCAGCTTTTGTGTGCCTTTCTGGCTTCAGCCACTGGTGACAAAGTTCGTAGAGTCGGCTGCAAACCTCTCGGGGTCCTTTGGCCTCCTGGCAACAGAACTGCCTCAACTGCTGCCTCTGCACCTCTGAGCAGAGGGTGTCCTCCTCACCCAGGATCTTCTGCACAGAGTTTTCCCAGAACCCCCCACTGCTCCCAGCTTGGATGGCATGGCCTCTTCCTGCTTTGGGGCCAGCTGAGTCTCGCTCATCCATCTGTGCTCTCAGGAAGCCTCTGAGAGATCGGAAGGAACCCTTTGGTCTTCTGCCAAGTTCTGCCCGTCTAAATGAGAAGCTCTAGCAAATCCTACAAAGCAAATACATTGTTCTGTTACAGAATTTGTAGGACAGGGGGGGATATGGTTCCCTGAGCAAGCATGGATGAGTCTTGCTAGGAACAAGGGGAGGAGGAAGAGGAGAAGAAACAAGTCTCTAGCCTTCAAGCAATGCAGAATGTGGAGGCAACGGAAGGGATTTCTATCAGATTAATCAACCTGGTTTCTCCATCCTTCCAGTCAATTGATGACGTCGGAACCTACTGACAAACGAGTCGTTTCTATCTCGTGAAAAATGGATGCTTGGTTCTAGTGGGGGTCCTCACCTGGGGGTCCTCAGGAGTTGTTCCCCCCACCCCCACTCCCTTGCTTCTGTCTCCTTTTCTTGCACTTGGACTCTCTCCCGCTCTCAGGACAGACCTCTGGGGTGGGGTCCCTTTATCTTTGCCCTGAGGGCCAGGTATGTATCTGGCCAACCCCCTGAGCCATTGATGCCAAGGTCCCTGGAGGCTCAGTGAGTAGCAGCGCCCATTTCCAGCAACAATCCCTTTGGGGCAGAGAGGATGTGGTCCTGGGATGCCCTGCTCTGGGTGCGAGGGGATTGCTGCAGTGGCCTCCGTGGGGAGCTGCCCTTGGAGACACTGGGAAAGTGGTCCCCAATGCAGCAGCCAGACTCTGGGCTGGGATCCCTCTCTTTATTCCTGGCCTTTCTCTCCCACCTTTTTTTTTGGGGGGGGGGCTAGTCCATCTCCTGTTCAGCTTTGGAAAACCATTTGCACATGTTTCCTCTGTTATGCAGTGAGGCTGAGCAACGTCACATAGAGTTAAAGTGCCAGGGACTCCTTTGTTTTAAAAAGGGAGATTTCGTGGGAGTCAGGGATCCTCTGATCTGCAGGAAGGAGAGCGTGGCAGACCTGGCCCCTCCCTGGCAGGACCCTCTCCCCCCTGACACCCTCCCCTGCTGCAGCCCTGGGACCCTCCCCCCCATCTCCCCACTGCACCCTCTGGGGGGAGAGAGAGGAGACTCACCAGATCCCAGCAGGGGGCAGCGAATCATTCCTTGCAGGAGAGACACAAAGCAACACCCCCCTTCTTTGCAGGAAAGGACTGGGGAGGGAGGGGCCTTGGCTCTGGAGGACCAGCCCCCCCCCTTGCTTCCTCTCCTCTCTAAGAAGGAAGATCACTTCCCTTTAACCCTTGCAAAGCCGAGTCCCTCCAGCTCAGCCCTCTCTCAGATTCTTATTATTTTTTATGCATTTAGGGGGGCAGCTGCCCCCCCTGGCTCCGCCAATGCCCAGATATCCTTTTGGGGGGTGAGGCTCTTGGCTGGACTCTGAGCATCTCCCTCCCTTGGCCGGAAACCAGAGGAAGAGCTTGCAGGGAAAAGGGCTTTGCAGGAGGCAAGGAAGCTCCTCCTAGAATTCAGGAGTGGAGAGATAGGAGGGGATCCCAGGGTCATCTAGTCCAACCCCCAGCAAGGCAGGAATCTCAGCTAAAGCATCCATGGCAGATGGCCGTCCGATCTCTGCTTAGAAACCTCCAAGGAAGGAGAGTCCACCACCTCCCAAGGGAGACCTTTCCCTGCCAAACTCCTCTTAGGTGTCCCTCAAGGCAGCGGGTCCTGAGTTCTAGCCCTGCTGAAATAATCGCACTCAGCACTCAGCCAGAAACAATTACAATGTGAAAAACCTTATAAGAATAATTCAAAACATCAAAACTAACAACCTTAAGTCTCTGAAAGTCCTTAAATGAATCACGGTGGCAGACTTTACCCAGCGGAGAACAAGCTGAGCACTGTTCCAGAGTATTTTTCATTCTCACGTAATTATATCTATTTGAAAAAAGATTGGTTAATGAAGAAATGACATATCTTTCTAATTTCGAGTGTTGAACTCATTGGCTGATGAAGAATTCAATGAAACAGTAGTTGTTATCTGGAAACACTGTTCATCAGAGTTCAGAGTTGCACTTGAGAACTGGACATTTGCTGATTATACAAAGTTTCACGAAGACAGCAACAAAGTTTCACAGCTTGTTCTCCACCGGGGAAAGTCTGGCACCATGATTCATTTACGGACTTTCAGAAATTTTCAGAGACTTCAGTTTGTTATTTTTGATGTTTTGAATTATTCCTATAAAGTTTTTCACATTGTATAATAGTTTTTGGCCATTGTGTTGCTTCTGATATAGCTGACTCATATTTTGCAACACAGAAATAATTGCACTGGCTGCCAAGGAGAGACCAAGCGAAGTTCAAAATAAATCATATTCTCATCATGAATAACCAAAACTTTCTTATGCATGTTCCTATGCAAACATACAATAGTATGCAATTTTCCCTTCCAGAAATGCTTACTTGCTAATTCAATGGACCAAAAAAGGATGGTGGTTGTTATTATTTTTTACATTGATAACACCACCCTTCATGAAGATCTCTCAGGAACGTTTAAAACATAGAACATATTAAAAGTAGACAAATGATGCATCACCTCAAATTCTTTAAGGGAGGGAGATGCTCAGAGTCCAACCAAAAGTCGTCCCCCCGAAATCCATAAAAAATAATAGAAATATGAGGTTCTGCCAAGCGAGAGAGGGCTGAGCTGGAGGGACTCGGCTTGGGAAGGGTTAAAGGGAAGTGAGCTGCCTTCCTAGAGAGGCCAGGAAGCAAGGGGGGGCCAGGTCCTCCAGAGCCAAGGCCCCTCCCTCCCCAGTCCTTTCCTGCTTCTGTGTCTCTCCTGCAAGGGCTGCCTCGCTCTCCCCTCCCGGGATCTGGTGAGTCTCCTCTCTCTCCCCCCAGAGGGTGCAGTGGGGAGACGGGGGGGGGTCCCAGGGCTGCAGCAGGGGAGGGGGCCTAGGGGGGCCTGATCTGCTCCTGCAGGGGGGGACCCCAAGTCAGGGAGGAGAGGGTCCTGCCAGGGAGGGGCCAGGTCTGCCACGCTCTCCTTCCTGCAGATCAGAGGATCCCAAACTCATTTGACCCTCCGCCCCCCCCTTCAGAAAAAAAATCTCCCTTTTTAAAACAAAGAAGTCCCCGGGACTTTAACTCTGTGTGACATCGCTCAGCCTCATTGCACAACAGAGGAAACATGTGCAAATGGTTTTCCAAATCTGGACGAGGAGGTGGACTAGCCCCCCCCCCCAAAAAAAAAACACCCCACAGGGAGGAAGGAAGTTAAGGTGGGAGAGAAAGGCCAGGGATAAAGAGAGGGATCCCAGCCCATAGTCTGGCTGCTGCATTGGGGACCAGTCATCTCCCAGTGTCTCCCAGGGCAGCTCCCCACGGAGGCCACTGCAGCAATCCCCTCGCACCCAGAGCAGGGCATCCCAGGACCACATCCTCTCTGCCCCAAAGGGATTGTTGCTGGCAAAGCAGCCGGAAATGGGCGCTGCTACTCCCTGAGCCTCTAGGGACCTTGGCATCAGTGGCTGTGCGTGTGTTAATAATAATAAGAATAATAAGAATAAAAGAATAAAAAATTTCCCGCTTATATTTAAAGGGAGGTGTCTTTGGCCCCACCCACTTGGCCCTCAGGGGGTTGGCCAGAAACATATCTGGCCCTCAGAGCAAAGAAAAAGGGACCCCACCCCAGGGGTCTGTCTGGAGAGTGGCAGAGAGTCCAAGTGCAAGAAAAGAAGACAGAAGGAGGGGAGTCGGGGGGGGGGAGCAACTCCTGAGGACCCCCAAGTGAGGACCCCCACTAGAGAAAAGCATCCATTTTTCACAAGATACAAATGACTCCCTTGTCAGTCACTTCATGCATTGATGGGCCGGAAGTAGAAACCAGGATGATTAATCTCACAGAAATCCCTTCAGTTGCCTCCACATTTTGCATTGCTTGAAGGCTAGAGACTTATTTCTTCCTCTCCTCCTCCTTTTTAAAAAGATAGCTCATGGTATGGGATGCGGTGAAGTCCAGCCCTGGTTCCCAGCAAGACTCAGGGAACCATTTCCCCCCCTGTCCTACATATTCTGTAACAGAACAATGTATTTGCTTTGTAGGATTTGCTGGAGCTTCTCATTAAGACGGACAGAACTTGGCAGAAGACCAAAGGGTTCCTTCCGATCTCTCAGAGGCTTCCTGAGAGCACAGATGGGTGAGCAAGACTCAGCTGGCCCTGGAACAGGAAGAGGCCATGCCATCCAAACTGGGAGCAGTGGGGGATTCTGGGAAAACTCTGTGCACAAGATCCTGGGTGAGGAGGACACCCTCCGCTCAGAGGTGCAGAGCCAGCAGTTGAGGCAGTTCTGCTGCCAGGAGGCCAAAGGACCCCGAGAGATTTGCAGCCGACTCTACCACTTTTGCCACCAGTGGCTGGAGCCAGAAAGGCACACGAAAGCTGAGATGCTGGACTTGGTGATCTTGGAGCAGTTCCTGGCTGTCCTTCCCCTGGAGATGGAGAGCTGGGTGAGGGACTGCGGAGCGGAGACCAGTTCCCAGGCGGTGGCCCTGGCCGAAGGTTTTCTCCTGAGTCAGGCAGAGGAGAGAAAGCAGGTGAGAGAGACTTTCCTCTGGATACTCCCAAGGGACTCCAAACAGGACAGAGAACATCCCATAATGGTCTGCTGATGGCCCATCCTTTTTCTGGGAAGGCATCCATGGAATGAGATTTTTCACCCTTCAAGTCTTTGTCATTCTCTTTCTAGTATTTCTCCCCATTCTCTGTTTTGAATCCGTGTTTCTTTCTCAGGGAAAGGATCTCTTTGCAGAAATGGACCTGGATTCATGTGAGGCAGAGAGACCTTCGTTGGACACCAGAGAGAGGCCACTAGGTAAGGAGGAAGGTGGTTTTTCTCCTTTTGGTCTCATTCTGTTGGTTTTACAACACATCTGAGGGTTCTTTTCATCTTGTTTTGGGGGGAGATAGTTGGGAACAAGGGTACAGAGGAGGGGAGATAAATTTCTGCACAACAAACATATTAAATGGGCACAAACGTCTAAATGCTCTCAGCAGGTAAGGCTTTCTCAAAGGCCCACCTGCAGTTAGAGATGCCCTGTTTCACCTGTGAGAGATGTAGGCACTCCTGGCATCCTGTTTACCTTTTTTCTCTTGCAGGTGACAGAATGATGCCGGCAAGACCTCCTGATCCACGTTTTCATGGGGGCAGAAGGGAAGCAGCAGCTCTGGAACCAGATCAGGTCAGGGGAAGCTGCCTTGTGGGGACAGAGGCTGAGGGATGGAGCAATGTCATGGACTGTTTAGGCACAGAGGAATGGTGGGAGGAAGCAGCCGGGGAACCAGGAAGGGAAGATGGCTCAGAGTCGAAGGAGTGGAGATGGAGGAAGGATGAGCGGTCAGAAGGAGAAGAGGGAAAGGCCTGGGAAGAGGAGGTGTTAGAAACTGAAATGGTAACAGGGCTTAGTGAGCTGGGAGACTCTGTGGCAGAATGCATTGCAGAATCAGAGGCAGAAGAGGAAGGAGAGGAAGGTCGAGAGGCAGAGGTAAGTCAGGAGAAGGAGGAGCCTTTTTCCAGAAGCCACCCTCCCCGCTTGTCTCTCAGAGCCAGGAGACCCCCTGCATTGCAGGAATCTCTACTAGATCATCCAAGACAGATGGCCATCCAAAAGAGGCTTATTTTATTTCTAGACTGATCACTGAAAGCAAAAATTGGTTTCTAAGCAGTGGACAAATGAGAACAAATAGCGGCCTGGATTCACCTAACCAGCCACCCCCCATTCCTTTCCCTCCCCATGTCCCCATGAACCCCTTGAATTTGGCTCTAGGGCATTGGGAAGGAACCTTCCCAGAACAGCTCACAAGGAGAGGAGAAAGTGGATCATTCCATCAGGGAAACTAGAATGCATAGGCAGAATAATGTGGAAATACAAGGAGGAGTACCACCTATTTGCACAAAGATGAATTCCGATGATTAAAATGCATATTAAAATAAGCATCCATAAATAAAATGTGCAGCAAAGCAATCCTATTGAAACAACACCGCAATTAACAGGAAGGAAACAACAGAACGTTGTGTAGCAGATCATATTTCTGCTGTCTCAGAGGAGGACATTTCCCTTTTTCTTTTAGAGTCCAGTGTGCTTTGAAGATGTCGCTGTTCGTTTCACGGACGAGGAGTGGGCATTGCTGGATCCTGACCAGAGAGCTCTGCATAAGGACGTCATGGAGGAGAATCGTGGGATTGTGGCCTCTCTTGGTAAGGCTCCCTGTGGGATCGTTATATCTGCCTCAAAATTCCAAAAATACCTCAATGTGACCAATCTCACATATTTTCACAGAGCTCAACAGAGTCCGCTATAACACCTGGGAACCTAGCACCCCCACAATAAACAGTAAATTACAGTTTTTTCTTTGAACAATCTTCCTCAAATTATTCCTTTTTCTACCACGATTGGGCTGGTCTAAACTGCCCAGGCCATCTTAAATGTCAGCTTCAGAAAGATAAGTAGCTTCAGGTTTTCTGTTTTTGCTCCTGTCAGTCTTGGGTTGACCAAAGAGACGGCTGACATTGGAGATGGAGGGGATGCCATGACTGGACCAAATAAAATTCATCCCAGAGAAGAACTAGACTTATTGAATCTCAGGAAAAGTAGTGGTGATGATGATGATGATGATAGTAGTAATACAGTGGTACCTCGGTTTACAAACATAAGAATAATAACAAGAAGAAGAAGAAGAAGAAGAAGAAGAAGAAGAAGAAGAAGAAGAAAACTTAAAATTTTCCGGAACAGGACTGTTCTTAAATCGAGGTACCACTGTAGTAATAATAATAATATATTTTATTTCTACCCTCCCCATCTGGCTGGGTTCCTCCAGCCATTCTGGGCGGCTTCCAACATATATACAAACATGAAACATAAATAATTATAATCTGATCCCATATAAAAAGAACATTAACTTTATTTATTTATTTTTACCAATCAATTTTTATTGTTTTCTTTACACAGTCATTTTACAATACATTAAATCACATATATACTTTTAGCTCTGCCGAGCTTGCGACTTCCCTCCTTCCCTTCAGCAGGTATCCCTTATTTTCTCCAGTCGCGTATTTTAATTTTTAACCTTGTATCTGTCTTATACATTGTAGGAGTTATTTCAATCCTGCCAGTGTTTTTAAATTTTTTACAATTATCCTTTAAGTACACAGTACATTTACTCCAACTTTCCTGAAATCTCTGATCGTCCTGATCCCGAATCTTGCCAGTCAGTTTGGCTAATTCCGTGTAGTTCATCATTTTCGTCTGCTACTCCACAATGGTGGGAACTTATTGTAATTTCCAGTTTGGGGCCAATATATTCCTTGCCGCAGCTGTGGCATACATAAATAGCCTTTGGTCTGTTTTCTTAACCTCCTTCCCCATCAAACCCAACAAAAAAGCCTCTGGTTTTTTGGGAAAGGTATATTTAAGTACTTTCTTAAGTTCATTATAGATCAACTCCCAAAAATTATTGACTTTATCACAAGTCCACCACATATGATAGAAGTCTCCATCCACCTTTTTTCATTTCCAGCATTTCTTATCCCTCATCCAATACATTTTCGCCAGTTTTACTGGTGTCAAATGCCCCCTATATATCATCTTCATTAAATTTTCTTTTAAAGCCGTACACGCCGTGAATTTCTTACTTTTGTTCCATAATTTTAGCCATGCATCCAGTTCAATATTATGCCTAAAATCTATAGCCCATTTTATCATTCCTTCTTTCACCTCTTCAACTTTTGTAAACCATTCTAATAACAAATCATATATCCTAGATAGTATTCTACCTCTGCCTTCCACTAATTCTAATTGAAATCTTGATTTTTTATCCTTAAACCCAGCTTTCCTTTTATCCTCACTCAATATATCATTCACCTGATGGTATTGCAACCAACCTGTAAACATGCCTTCCGTTTGATCATATGGTTTACGTTTTAACCCTTGTTCCGTTTTTCTAATAATTTCCTCATATTTACTTTTTTAACTGTCAATACCTCTATTGGTGATATCCACCGTGGGGTTTTCCTTTGCATTAAATTCTTGTTTCTTTCCCATAGTTCATAAATTGACCTTCTGATCACATGGTTTAAAAAACCTTTACTTTTACCTTATCATACCACAGGTACGAGTGCCACCCGTGCCTGTTGTCATGACCTTCTAAATCCAATAGGTCCGTATTTTCCAATGTTATCCATTCCTTTAACAATACGAGACAGGATGCTTCATATGAGATTCGTACCTGGTAAGGCAAAGCCACCTCTTTCATTTTTATCTATCAATATTTTTATTTTGATCCTCGGCTTCTTTCCCTGCCAGACAAATCTTGACACTATTTTTTTGCCATTCTCTACATTGTCCTGTCCCTTTAATCACTGGAATTGTTTGGAATAAGAATAACATTCTAGGTAAAACGTTCATCTTAATCTGCCCAAAAAGGATAATTTCAACCTGTTCCAAATTTCTTAATCCTTCTTAATCTCTCTCCATGTGGTTTCATAATTATCTTTATACAAATTTATATTTTTTGTTGTCAACCAAATTCCAAGGTATTTCACTTTCTTAACCACCATAATTCCTGTCCTGTGTTGCAATTCCTCTGTCTCTTTTTATTCATATTTTTTACTAGCATTTTGGTCTTATTTCTATTGAGTTTAGATCCTGCAACTTTTCCAAATTCCTCCATTTTCTCTAGGGCTTTTTGTACACTGTTTTTGGGTCTTCTAATGTTAAAACTAAATCATCAGCAAACGTTTTTACTTTAAACTCTTTCGATCCCACCTTAATACCTCTGATTTCTGACACTTCTCTCAAATTCTTGTTTAATACTTCCAAAACCGTAATAAACAACAGGGGTGACAAAGGACACCCCTGTCTGGTACCTTTAGATATTTCAAAGTTGTCAGACAAATTATTATTTATAATAAGTTTGGCTTTTTCCTCTGAGTATATAGCCTCAATACCTTTCAAAAACATTTCTTCTATTCCCATTGTTTTTAGGTTTTCTTTCATAAACCACCATGAAACATTATCAAATGCTTTCTCCGCATCAATGAACACCAAGGCCGCTTGTTTATCATTTCTAGACTCCCAAGTACTCAATTATAGTCACTATGTTCCTAATAATGTTCTTCAGTTGTCGCCCTGGTAGGAAACCAGCTTGATCTTTATGTATTACTTCCTTTAAAAGTTTTTCTTAATCTGTCACCCAACACATCCGCAAATAATTTATAGTCATTGTTCAATAAGGAAATAGGTCTATAATTTTTAACACTCAAACCATCTGTATCTTTCTTTGGGATTAAAGTGATGTACACCTTTTTGCAGTATTTGGAATTTCCCCTTCCTTCAAAATATGATTCATAACCTCACACAGTACCGGTAATAATGGTCCACATAGTGTCTTATAATATTTTGCTGAGATGTCGTAAGGGCCTGGGGCTTTCCCTATCTTCATTCTCTTTATCGCCTTCTCAATTTCTTGTTCTGTAATTATCTGGTTTTATTGTTCCTTTTCTCCTGGGGGGATCTGTTAGTATCTCGGCTCACAGGCAGAGGTACCTGGCCTCCCCCGAGGCAATTGAGCGAGATACTGTTGCTTACCGTCCGTCTGCGACCTCCGGCAGGCTAGGTAAACAAACCCGGCGATTCTTCTCATTAGTCGTGAGAAGAACACACCCTCTGCTTCTCTCTCCCTCCCTGCATTCTCCCAGGGAGGAGAAATGAGACAGACAGGAGTCCTTTCTACATGTTTTATTCCTGTCTCCAACAGTACATAGAAATGTGACTGTTCCCTTCAGACTCCATTAGGAGAGTCTCACACTCCTCCCCTGTACTTCCAGTACAGGTCAGATGACACACTAAGCTAACATCCGGTGCTCAGTCCAGAGAATAGGCTCCACCTTTTCCCCAACAGTACAGTGAGAAACCACAACATCCTGTTTTGCATTCCAGCCATCTGGAGCTGGCTTTTGCCTTGGTGCTTTTTCCTGACAACCTCCCCCAAAAGCATCAATTGGCAAAACATGATCCAGAGAAGAAAACAAACAGTTGTTATACATATAACAGTCCCCTGTTGTTTCAGTTCCACCCTTGGAACTCCCCACCACTGGTTTCACCAGTGTACCTCTCTGGTTGTCTGGCTTCCAAGGAATGAGTGCTTCTG